GTGTGGCTGACGGCTCTCTGCTCCCCAGGCAACCTCTACTCCAGGCTGGTCCGTCTGGAGGGGGACCACGTTGCCGTGCAGATCCAAGACACGCCGGGGTGCATCCAGGTACGGAGACGCTTCGGATCGGTCGGTTCTTCTCTGCCACCTCAAGGCTCAGGTCTTGAGCTCCAGCTTCCTATGGGGCCAGGCTTAGTCTCCTAAGACTGAGCTCAGGCTTCCCTTTGGACCTGTTTACGGTGCTATTTATGATACAGGTTTTAGACTTTCACACCCCGATGCTAAATTTGTGCTCTCTGTCGTACCGCAGGTGCAGGAAGACTGCGTGCAGGTGCTGGACTCCCTCTCCAGGTGCGTGAAGTGGGCAGAGGGTTTCCTCCTGGTTTACTCCATCACGGACTACAGCAGCTACCAGTCAGTCCGACCTCTCTACCAGTACATCCGCAAGGTCCACCCAGATGCCAGGACTCCCATCATTATCGTGGGGAACAAAGCAGACCTCCTCCACGCCAGGCAGGTACAGGCGAAAGAGGGACTACAGCTGGCAAACGAACTGGGCAGCCTGTTCTTGGAAATCTCCACGAGTGACGACTCCCAAGGCGTCTGTGATGTTTTCCAGTATCTTTGCAAAGAGGTCAGCAAACTACAGCACGCCGGCAGCACGGACAGGAGGCGGTCATCCATCATCCCTCGGCCCAAATCTCCCAACATGCAAGATCTAAAGAGACGTTTCAAACAGGCTTTGTCTTCCAAAGTCAAATAAACCCTGCTGATGAGATGCTGCGTGACTCAATATACTTTATTTTTGTAAACTAGTTAATAAAAATCTTTATTTTTGTACTAATGCCAGCAGTATGGAAGTAAGTATGCTGAAGCTTGCGATTTCCTTGCCATTCTCTCTTGTTTGACTGGTTAGTTATTTTTACAAAAAGAAAAAAAGAAAAAAAAAAGGCTACATAGCAACTAGATAGAGGTAGTTGGAGAAGGGGTTTTTTGCCAAGAAGTTTTGATTTCATTTCTGTTTTGGTCTGGGAGTTGCTGTTTTGCTCTGTTCAAATGACTATTTTGGGCCTCAGTTTCCTGTTTGTAAAATGGGAATGATGATGTAACTCTCTCCTGCCTTTATAAAATGCATGGAAAGCTTTCCTTTGATGGAAAGCTTTATATGGCGAGAAAAAGAAAAAGCTTTATTAAACATGAAAATACAAAACTGTCTGTAAGCATTCTGATTATAATAGGATTATTTTCCTCCCTCAATGACTGCTGTTTTGCTTGCACCTGTAACCACCTGAATGACAATAAGCCATTAGGAATGAGTTCCAATTTCTGCTGTGCTTTGGACATCTATCCCGCAGATTAATCTTTTGAGCCCAAGGCATTTAACAGGAAGGTTGAGTTTCACCTACCGATTACCGTGGGACAAAGTGCTGAGCAATCTGCAGCAGAGGAGTGTGTGGGATGGCTGTTGCTTTCTCTGGAGAAGTGTGATAGGACAGACTGATGCGTAGGTTCCCTTAACAGAAAACAGCTACATTTAAAAGGAATCACATCTTTATCTTCCCCAGGGCGATTTTGTAGTCATTGGAAACAGGTTAGACTTTTCACTCATTTCACAAAAGCTCTACATCATACTAAAATGGTTTTTATTAACTGTTTGATGGATATCTAAGCATGGAATGTGGGTTTTGTACTTCAAATGTGCCTCTGAAGTATGTGTGCGTTGTGTTGGTAAAAAATAAAGCTCTGCTCCATGCTGAGTAGAATGTGTGGAAGTGGAGTAACCTGTACAGGAGGAAACTTGCTGTCCCTGCTCACACGCAACTCCAGTAAGTGATCTGGTTGGGTTTTTTTTTAAATTACTTTATTTTCATAGGTTAAGTCTAAAGACCCTTTTCTTCTTGCCTTTGTTAGGAAAGGCAGGTAACCACTGTGTAAACCCCTTGTACTTAGTGGGCAGTATCTGTTATTTCTGACCTCTGGGACTTGGAACATGCTGGGATACCTCCGCTCCTGATCTGCAGATAAAAGTCTTCATGCTGGTGGTAATGGAGGGAAGGGTTGGCTGAACAAGGTGGTAGTCTGCAAGGAAGCACCAGAGGCTGATTTTACTGCTGGGGGTGTGTGGGGTGCCAGCAGCACTATTCCTCATCCAGGGCTACGTGCACAACATCAGTCCAGGCGTGTTACCTGTGTGTCTCCTCTCTGAAGGTCCTGTGCCACCTACCAGAGTGAGCTGGAGAGCTGAAGGGAGCAGCTCCAGACCTGCAGGACCAGACTGAAACTGGGACTGCAAACTGGGTCCAAAACTCTTGAATTAACGGAAGCGCAAAAGCACAGGAACAGCTTGGACAAATAAAAGTACTGTTTAAAACACATTTTAAATATCTCTTCACTGTGAGAGTTGCTCTGCCAGGCCCAGGACTCTGGGCTGGGGGCTTGAGGGGAGCAGGGGGATGGGGTTGATCAGAATGAGCACGTCCCTGGCAGGCTTGAACTCACCACATCATAGGCTATACCTATTCATGGGGAAATTTGAAGGGGAGTTTGAAAAAGTCACAAGTGGGATATTTATGCAGCATTTCACCATCCTGAAATTAGGGATAACAAATTGTTTCTGAGAGAAAATTATCACTATGATATGTTTTTGGTAATTTCTTGAACTGTAGCTTTTGTCTTTGGAAATGATGAAGCTCGATTTCCTACTCATGCACCCAGTACAGATTTTCACTGAGCAAGTTGCTAAAGGTGTGCAGCTCATACATGGACACAAAATACGCTAAAAGGGCAGGTACTGTGTACTGGACCTCTGCATCTCGCCGTGGTCATCAAAGGCCAGGTGAAAAAAAGCAATAGGCACCGACCTTTGGTGCCTCCCGCTGCCCCCTGTGAGCCTTTAAAAGCCACCGGCAGCTGTCCTGGCTGTGCCGTGGTACAGGGGGAGAGTTTGGGCAGGACGCTGCCGGACACACAAGGGGGAGAGAAGAGCAGGAGGGTAAATACAGGGGTTTGCCCCATCTCTCTCCTATGGGGAGAACCTAAAGAGATGTCCCTCATTACATAGGCACCTACATTCAGGTGGAGGTGCAAACCCTCCCAGCCTGTCTCCATGCTGTCGGGCTGGCTCGGCCACATGTCAGGAGCAGGATGAGGCGTCTTGGGGATATGATAGGGAATCTCAGTGGGTAAAGCGTGCCCACGGCAGGGAGGGAGGGCTGCTCTGACCTGCCTCCAGTCTAAGGCAGCGGCTGAGCTGGGGTGTTCTGGATAACGCTTTTGAGTACAGATCCATAAATTAGGCATTTAAGCTGTTTGTCAGAATTTGACCCAGCTGGCACAGATTTATCTTCACCCAGTTGTCTGCAGCCCGTGCGACCCTGAGCTGAGCTGGCTCCCAGCTCGTTTTGCCCTGGCATTTTCTTCAGTCCCGGGTGAGCACACAAAGAGGGGCAGGCCGGGGCAGGGAGGGAAAGCCATCTCTCAACTGCTAGCAGAGGAGCTCCAAAGCCTTGTTTCTCTTGGACCACGGCCACTTGCACCCTCCCTACTGAATACTTGCCATCACTAGTCTCTAAGCCTTCCACCCAGAGGCCAGGGCAGTTTCAGGAGAGTAAGTGGGGCACGGCCTGGCCTTTCTCCTTGATCAGAGGAAAATACGCGTCTGCCTCCTTCCTCCCACCACCTCCGCTATGAAACAGAATCACAGCAATTTCCCCTGACAAGACGGATGAGTGGGTTTTCAGAAGCAGGGCTATGTGCGGCATCACGCACTATTATGGCTGCTACTACATCAGCATCTCCCCCCTCTCAGGCTATTTTGTCTAGTTATCTCCCAGCACTGAAATAATCCAGTAATGCTTTAAGACTTCATGAATTTTAAAACAGCTGCTGCCATCAACCTGTTCCGTGTGCCACAGATCCCGAGACAGAGATAGGGATATTTTCTTCAAAAGTCTTTATGGATGTCCTCTCACTTTCTGCCCTGCCCGAGCAGCCTGCACCCGGGCTGCTTCCTCGCTGCCTCCTGGCAGGGCGCAGGCCATCAGCACATGCAGTGGTCAGTGCTGCAGGTCCATGCTGTATTTCTGTGGTTTGTTTGGATGAAGGACTGTGGACAAGATGGACCGTGTTCATATGTTGGGCAAGAGTTGGGTTCCAGCTTCAGACAGCGAGCAAAAGTGGTTGAGGCTCAGATGGACAGACAACTAGAAACAAATCTGCATCCCATGCCTGGACCTCCTATAAAGCAATTTCAGTCCTGGGGGACTTCAATAGCTTTTGGTGAAGCTGCTGTTTATTTAGGAAGGTCTGAATAGGTTTAGAATAAACTCCTTAAGGAAAGTCGACCTTTTGTGGCAGTTGTTGGACTTGGCACATGATTGTTGGCTAGTCACACCAGTAAGACAACAGGATCTCTTCAGCTGCTCTGAAAGCCAGGATCTGAAGCCAGTTGTCCTTCTAGGAGCAATATCTCTGGGGTTGATGCTGTTGCTGCATCACTGCATTGAGATACAATGCAACCCTCCAAAGACCTGTCTTCCTGAGACACCTTCAAAGTGATGTCCCTGAAAAGCTTATTTTGAGTTAGAGCATGGCTCACAAAACAGCTGCTCAGCTTGGATTTTGGGTAATTGCTGACAATTCAGACTTCCAGAAAACCCCACTGATTCTCAGACTTGCTCTTCCACTGCTCTCCTCTTTCCACCTATCTAAAAAGAAGGAGAAAACAATGCCTTTTTACTGAAAATAGTTTTCAGATAACTGGTTTATGAGGTTTTCTTACTACATTCATTGTTTATACTCTTGACTGAAAGAAGCATAAATACATATTGTGACTTGTTATGCCAGTGTACATTGTGGAGCACAACCAGTTATCTGCTAGCTTCCCACATTACCAAAAGAAAAAATAGGATCTAGAAATTGAGCATCCATTTCACTAGCCTATGATACTCAATTTACAACTGAAAAGCTATGGAGTAAAGTCAGCATAATGATTATAGAGCTCCATAGACATTACAGATGCTGTATTTGAAAATGCACTTGGTTGTTTACTCTCCATGCTTTCCTTCCTGGACTGAAAAAAAAATCCGTAAGAGAAATCCTCACCCAGAGGTCATCATGGTGTGAGCTGCTGTGTAGAGGTGGCTGCTTTAGCCCCATGCCTCGTCCTCTGGGCTTCGGACAAAGGCATCTGCCGATGTGCCTGAGCTTTGCGGGGCGAACTGTATTTTGCTCTTAATCTGTGCACGATATCACCAATAAAATGTATCTGTCCAGGAAATTGCGCAAGGTTATTTAATAGTCAACCTGCATTACTGGGAAACAGTAATTAATTCTTAAAGCTCGAATATTTATCTTCTAAGGTATTTGGCACTTTCCCCATTACTAAAAACATCCTCTTCTCAGGTTTCAAATGGTCTTGGTAAACATTTCATAGTAATTTTTCCCCTTGGGATGGTAAGCCAATATCAGCAAATATTGTTTCTGGGTGCAGCTCTGAGAAGAGGGGACTAAACTCTCCCCACGCTGGGGCAGCGAGGTGAATTACAAACTCCGGTCCTGCAGCTGATGCATCCTTCCCCTCCTGCAAACAAATCCCAGCACAGGCAAAGCGCCAGTTGTCCGAAGCTCACAGCCCTGAACGCTTCCAGGAGCCTTTAAGAACATGGTTTGATCTGACCCACACTCAGCTAGCAGACTTCCCACTGACACCATTTCTTTTGATACTAAGAAATCCAAAGGTCTCTTTAACGCTAGGAGATGGAA